TGTCCTCATCGTGTTGATCGTCATCACCTCCTTCGCCGTGTCCGCTGTCGTCTGAGCCCTCCTCATCAGGACGGGGCGCAAGCTTGACAATCATGGCGGCGCATCGCTGCATGGCCCCCGAGCGCCCCACCCCCAACGTCTCGCGAGGTCAGAGCTTCCCCCGTCATCGCCGCGGCCAGCCACGGAGACGACAAGAGGGCCGATCTAGCGATGCAGCGGGGGGGGGACCAGACAGGGGCAATGCAGCAATGCGCTGCGTGGAGGGGGCATGGGATGGGTAAGACGTTGAAGCTGACATTCGCCGTAGTGTAGTGGGCCCCCCTGGCACGCCCCATAAACGATGCCCGTTTATATGCCCCCTCTCCCCGCCCTCCAATAACGTGTACCCTGTGCGGTGTGTCGCTCAGTTGTCTTTGTGCGCGTCAGACTCCTAGGTCCTAGTGTTGTGTCGCTGGGTTCGCTCGTGCGGCCTACTCGTAGTGTGTTGTTGCGGTCTGCCCGTAAATCGCGTCGCATCGTGGCCGTGCGTGCCCCGCCCGAAGTCTTTGCGCCCGAATAAAGTCAAGACAAGCTCCTCTTCACCCTCGCCCTGCTCATCCTCGCCAGCGCCCTCGGACGGCTCGGACTCATTGGGGTCGTCGTCGCCGTCGCCGTCCAGCAACGGCGGAGCAGGCCTACGTCGAGTGGGCTTCCACAGGAGTAACTCGCGCCCATCTGGCAACATCTTGGCCGACACGCACTGCGGGTCCAACTCGCCCACGCGCCGCTCCCGCTCCAGCAGCTGGAGAAACTGGCAATGATACGTCCTCTCGGTCCCCAGAAACTCCGCGACCTGGCGCTCGACCATGCACGTGCTCTCAGCCTTCGGGGAGGGGGGCGACGCAAAGGAAAACGCGTTTTTTTTTCCCTTGGTGGGCGACCAAAACAAAAGAATTCCCCCGGCGAAAAGCCGCCGCGCGGCACCGGTTTAAACCAACCCGTGGCCCATCAATCACCCCTTCGCACGACGTCCACCCTGCCTCCCCGCTATATCGGATACGATATATACATATTTATATATATATGTATATATATATGTATATATATAGGTGTACTCATATATGAATGTAAAGTTACATGTACGCACACAGACGAGGCATTCGTGGAGGGGGGATGGGACGGGGGGGGGGAATGCGCGCGCAGCATTGATTTGCTGGCTTGCCTAAAAGTTCGCATGGTGGTCGACGCAGAATAACGCGATTACATTAAATGCGCGGTGGCACGGTGCCCAAATTCTTCTAATTGCGGGCGAGATCTCACGACATCGGGGGAAATGCCGCCGCATGCCGCAGGAGCGTACTCTCGGAAATTGATGCGCCCCACTGAAAAATGCACAGCTTCCTCGCTACGGGCAATGGGCAATGCGCAATGGGCAATGGGCAATGGGCAATGGGCAATGGGCAATGGGCAATGGGCAATGGGCACTGGGCACTGGGCACTGGGCACTGGGCACTGGGCACTGGGCACTTGGCACTGGGCACTGGGCACTAGGCACTGGGCACTGGGCACTGGGCACTGGGCACTGGGCAATGTGCCATGGGCCATGGGCCATGGGCCATGGGCCATGGGCCATGGGCCATGGGCAACGGGCAACGGGCAACGTGCAACGGGCAACGGGCAATGGGCAACGGGCAATGGGCAATGGGCAATGGGCAATGGGCAATGGGCAATGGGCAATAGGCAATAGGCAATGGGCAATGGGCAATGGGCAATGGGCAATGGGCAATGGGCACTGAGCAATGGGCAATGGGCAATGGGCAATGGGCAATGGGCAATAGGCAATGGGCAATGGCAATGGGCAATGGGCGATGGGCGATGGGCGATGGGCGATGTGCAATGGGCAATGGGCAATGGGCAATAGGCCATGGGCCATGGGCCATGGGCCATGGGCCATGGGCCATGGGCCATGGGCCATGGGCATGGGCTATGGGCTATGGACTATGGGCAATGGGCAATGGGCAATGGGGAATGGGCAATGGGCAATGGGCAATGGGGAGTGTGCAATGGGCAAGGGGCCATGGGCATGGGCAATGGGCAATGGGCAATGGGCAATGGGCAATGGGCAATGGGCAATGGGCAATGGGCAATGGGCTGGGCACTGGGCACTGGGCGCTGGGCGCTGGGCACTGGGCACTGGGCACTGGGCACTGGGCACTGGCACTGGGCACTGGGCACTGGGCACTGGGCACTGGGCACTGGGGGCACTGGGCACACTGGGGACTGGGGACTCTGGGGACTGGGGACTGGGGACTGGGCAATGGGCAATGGGCAATGGGCAATGGGCAATGGGCAATGGGCAATGGGCAATGGGCAATGGGCAATGGGCAATGGGCAATGGGCAATGGGCAATGGGCAAATGGGCAATGGGCAATGGGCAATGGGCAATGGGCAATGGGCAATGGGCAATGGGCAATGGGCAATGGGCAATGGGCAATGGGCAATGAGCAATGGGCAATGGGCAATGGGCAAGGGGCAATGAGCAATGGGCAATGGGCAATGGGCAATGGGCAATGGGCAATGGGCAGTGGGCAATGGGCAATGGGCAATGGGCAATGTGCAATGTGCAATGTGCAATGTGCAATGGGTAATGGGCAATGGGCAATGGGCAATGGGCAATGGGCAGTGGGCAATGGGCAATGGGCAATGGGCAATGGGCAATGGGCAATGGGCAATGGGCAATGTGCAATGGGCAATGGGCACTGAGCAATGTGCAATGGGCAATGGGCAATGGGCAATGGGCGATGGGCAATGGGCAATGGGCAATGGGCAATGGGCAATGGGCAATGGGCAATGGGCAATGGGCAATGGGGCAATGGGGCAATGAGCAATGGGCAATGGGCAATGGGCAATGGGCAATGGGCGATGGGCGATGTGCGATGGGCGATGGGCAATGGGCCATAGGCCATGGGCCATGGGCCATGGGCAATGGGCAATGGGCCATGGGCCATGGGCAATAGGCAATGAGCCATGGGCCATGGGCCATGGGCAATGGGCAGTGGGCAATGGGCAATGGGGAATGGGCAATGGGCAATGGGGAGTGTGCAATGGACAAGGGGCCATGGGCAATGGGCAATGGGCAATGGGCAATGGGGAATGGGCAATGGGGAGTGTGCAATATTGGGAGTGTGCAATGGGCAGTGGGCAGTGGGCAGTGGGCACTGGGCAATGGGCACTGGGCACTGGGCAATGGGCACTGGGCGCTGGGCACTGGGCACTGGGCACTGAACACTTGGCACTGGGCACTGGGCACTGGGCACTGGGCACTGGGCACTGGGCACTGGGCACTGGGCACTGGGCACTGGGCAATGGGCAATGGGCAATGGGCAATGGGCAATGGGCAATGGGCAATGGGCAATGGGCAATGGGCAATGGGCAATGTGCAATGTGCAATGGGCAATGGGCAATGGGCAATGGGCAATGGGCAATGGGCAGTTTGCAATGGGCAGTGGGCAGTTGGCAGTGGGCAATGGGCACTGGGCAATGGGCAATGGGCAATTGGCAATTGGCAATGAGCAATGGACAATGGACAATGGGCAATGGGCAATGGGCAATGGGCAATGGGCAACGGGCAATTGGCAATGGGCAATGGGCAATGTGCAATGGGCAATGGGCAATCGGCAATGGGCAATGGGCAATGGGCAATGGGAGATGGGCAATGGGCAATGGGCAATGGGCAATGGGCAGTGGGCAGTGGGCAGTGGGCAATGGGCAATGGGCAATGGGCAATGGGCAATGGGCGATTGGCGATGGGCAATGCGCAATGCGCAATGGGCAACGGGCAATGGGCCATGGCGTCTCGGGCTGCCCCGCGTAAGTCTGCATTTGCGAGGAGCCCCCACCCCCCCCAAAGCGGGCCCTGAGGGGCCAAAGCAGCGCCCGCGATGCCTTAAATGCGCCCCAAGACGCCCAAGATGGCCCCAATACGGCCAGGAGGCTCCTAAGCAGCACCAAGGGCGCTCCAAGTGACCCCCAGAGGGCCTAAACCACAACAACCAATGATGTTCCTAATGCGTCCAAGGAGTTCCACGTTGCCGCCTCTTCGGGTTTTCGATGCTTGAGGACGACCCCGCTGGGGCCCCGAGGCCGCCCCGAGACGGCCCAGCAAAGGGGGCCCTCAGAAAGCGCCGACACGGCCCAAACTGACCCCGCAACGGCCCGAGAGGCGCCCAGGGCGGCCCAGGAGAGCCCCAAGAAGACATCAGGAAGGGACCCGCAAACCTACAACTCGAGCTCTTCGCCCGAAAGGCCCTGCCCCCTTCCCCCACTGAGCCCCGAGAGGCGTCTAAGACCCCCCTCCCGAGAAGCGTAAGGGCAACCCCATTGAAGCCCCCAGATGGCTTCCGATGGGCCTCAACACTTCCTCCAAGATGCATCCGAGAGGCATCCCGCGATGTCCCGACGAACACTCAGGAAACCTTTAACTGTGGCGGGATAGGCCGTAGGCCGCCGTACATACATACAGGCATACATGCATACATATATATATATATATATATATATACACATGCATACATTTAGTTACAACAGCATGCCCCCCCACGCAAAACCGAAGACGTCGCATGGGCACAGAGAGACCCTGAACAACAATGGATGGGATGGCCCACGTACCGCGCACCCCAGAAACTGTAAAGGCATCCCCCAGGATGGGCAGGGGTAGCGGGGGTAGCTCAAAGGGGACGGGCAGGGGGTAGCTCGAAAGGGACTGGCAAGGCATCGCCCCTCCCCACCCCAGCTATTCTCCCCCGCCGTGTCCTCGTCCCATCTCGCCCTCCCCTTCCACAAACCATTCTCCCCGCCCCCTCCACGCTCACCCCTTCTCCCCCTTCCTCCATTCCCCCTCGCCACCTCAACGACCTCCGCCATCTCCCCCCGCCGTTCATCCCTTGTCCCGCCCCTCATCCCCCTCCTTGCCCTCGTCGACCTCATCCGAGGCTCAAGCTTGCGCTTTAAGCACCCTTCCCTCAAGCCTGCAAGTCCCAAATGCCGTCATCGCGAACCCGCCCCAGGCGCATCTTGTGGTACGTCGGCCTGTAGGGCTTCAGGTACAGGACGCCCACGTGGACCACGAGCAACTCATCGGTTTCCAACCAATCTCGCTCCGCGCCGAGCTCGACTAGATCGGCAGGTAGAGGCGGAAAGATCGCCGCGAAGATACTCCCATTCACCAGTAAAGGAAACTGTGTCGACTTGCGCGGAAAAGCCTTCTTCATCACGCGTAGCAGTGCATTGCGAATAGAGTAGAGCTTCTTGCCCTCGCCGTTGCAAATACACCGCCCGAACTTCCAGCAACGCACCTGCTTGTTGAAGTCCTTCGGCTGGTCTGCAATCCTCTCGCAATCGTCATGGCACACGATGTTGTGACGACGGTACCAACTCGCCGTCAGAGCTGCCGTATTCGAGGTGCCTCCCGAACTTCGCGTCGTCTGCGACGCGTAGGTGGCCTTCGCAGCCGTCGAGCCGATGTCGGGGACGAACTCCAGGTCGGAGCACGCTCGCTCAGGTAGGCGCTGAAGATCTTCAGCGGCAGCTGCGAGAGGAGGGACGTCGCCGACAGCGAGTCGAAGAGCTGCCTCGTCCACCGCGAAGGTCTTCAACTTGGAGACCTTATCCCTGCAGTCCTTGGCCTTCATCCTGCCAATGTTGTACGTTGCGGATCTAGCAGCAGCCAGCGCAGATGCGTTGTCAACCTGCGTGGCGACGATCTGGTTCGCTGCAACAACCTCCATCGACGGGCCCTCGCTACTCGCAAGGCTGCCCAATTGAAGTGTGAGTTGGGCCCGACGCTCTGCGGCAATCAGTCGTGCCTCTTGCTTCGAGTTGTTCCCGAATGAGCTGACATCTGGATGCTCTCGGTGCGCGGCCGTCGCAGCGCGTCCAGCCGTGATGTACTTCTCCTTCTGGTCGGCGTCGAGTTGTCGGTATTGCACCGCCAGCTGCGCGAAATCCTTGAAAACCCCAGGCTCGCTCATGGCAACGAAAGCTCTCCAGGCGCCGCCGCCTCCCCGAGGCTTGCGAGGCTCATCGTCCTCCGCTGGCTCTGCGCTGTCTGCGTCCACGAAGGTCGTCCGAGTAAGGCCTGCAGAGTTTTTCGCCCGCGACCTGCAGCGGGAGGCAACCCACTCCGCCGAGGCGGCAGCGATCTCTATGGCGTGGGTCTGGTGGCTCGCAGCGACCACGAGGCGCCGAATGCTGGCGTGGAGGGCTTCGATGTGGGAGATATCCAGCTTCGCCATGGCAACGATCGACAGCAGGCGCATCCTGGCGTCGTCTGCGCTGAGGTCGGGGTTGTCTTGCAGGAACTGCTTCGTGAACTTGCCGAGGACGCACTCGCTCTCCGACTCGATCGTCGCGGCCATGTGCGGGTGGTGCAGTACCAAGAACAAACGGTAGGGGTACTTCTGATGCAATTCCCGCACGAGCTCTGCCACCAAGCACCCAGCGCGAGATAACATCTTGAACGCTAACGCACTCGTCTGCTCCGTGCACTCCTCCTCCAAAACGAGTGACCACATGGCAGGTTGGGTGAGTAGCGTTTCTAGCTTCTCGAAAAACTTGTCCTCTATCGTCCCCTCGGCGGCGACCACAATTGGATAGTCCCTGCCAGTAATAATGTTTCCAGCCAGAGGTCCAGCATTCGATGCAGGGGCCAACTCGCGAACCCGCTGCTCCCTTTCCCATTTTGGACTCCCCAGGTCCAGAAGGCGGCCCATGATGTCGGATAGTGGAACCATCGTCAACCTCATGATGATAAGCGGTGTCATCGGCTTGCTCAAGACCCAATTGATGCCGACTTGCCTGTCCTTCGCGTTTTCCTCTGCCCTGAACTGGCACACTGGCTGTTGGCGCAAGTCCTCGTCGCGTCGATCTCCGTCGGCACCCCCGCTGTCATCCCCGACGGTTGCAGGGTCACCTTCGCCCTCGCCAGCTTCGCCGTCGCCGTCTCCACCATCGCCAGAGGGCAGCATGAGCAGCGGTACTTCGGCGTGCGGGGCGGCGCGCATCGCCGCCGATGCATTGCTAGAAGCCTTCGCGCCCATGCTCTTCGCCCAGATGGGGTACGCCTTAGTCAGAAGCCCGTGACATAGCTCCTGTGACAAGAATTGATCGATGCACGCGTCTGCACCCGTCCACTTGTCCCGCGGGTACAGCTTAAAAGCAGAGGACGCGAATACGAACAACAAACCTTCGGTCACTGATGTCTTGTACTTCGCCTTGTACGCGTCGAGGTCGACACCGTCAGGAAACGCTGGTACATGCACCTCCACGTTGGATCGATTCCTCCAATCGCCATTCGGAAACTTGTTCAAGGCAACGAACTTCTGGATGACGAGCGAGCCCGATGAGCTCAACAGCCTGAGCGCCATCCTCCTGTAGAAAACTGCCTCTGGCGGAGGAGCTCCAACTTTGAACAGAATCATGCTCCCGATGACCTCGCGAAGAACTTGTCGAAATGAACCCATGTGTCCCGCCAGCTTGAGTGACAGCGCGCACCTCACCATCCCAGTAACATTCGCTGTGACAAGCTTGAACGAGTTCTTGTGCACCAAGCTGGTGATGTGAACTTCGCAGTGCAGGTGTAGGTGCTGCCAGCCTTGTCTGTCTTTTTCTGCAATGCCACGTTCGCACTTGATGCAACCCCCACCCTGGTCGGTCGCGACGAGACGAACCCGTTGTTCATGCAGCTTGTGCGCCAAACTCACTGACCAGAGCAATCTGAGGGCCCCGCGAGTGGCCTCGCCCGTGTTGCGATCAATTACTACCAAGTGGTTGAGGGTAGAGGAATGCACGAAGATGTATCGCTTGGCACCGCCGCTCTCTACCTTCAACAAGCATGCATATCGAGAATCAACTTGGAGCATCTTGCAAATTGACGCTTCAGTGCGACTTTGCTGGATGAACGCTGGGAGCTCCGAAGGAATCACGACACCATCCTTGACGCACTTGGGGTTCAACACTGCAGCGAAGTCCTGAAGTAGCTCAATATGGTTGTTGAAACTGCAATCTCTGAGTTTGAACGGCATCGGACTCTCGTCGTAAAACTCGCACTCTATATAGTAAAGTGGCTTCACCCTGTCGCAGGATACCAAAGACTTCTCTAAGCTATGGCGGCGAAGTCTGTCATATACAATTGCAAATTCCGCCAACTTTCTGGTGATCTTGACCGTCTTCATGCGAGATGAACCTGCCAGCTCCGCCTCGCTCGTTTTGGTCATCATTTGAAACGACACAGAATCGTCGAACATGCGCTTGGCAACCGTATACACCGCATCGCCATGAGGAACATCATGCTTGCCATTTGTGTGCACTGCCCCGATGAAAGCGTCCACGTGCTTGTAGATCGGGCTAAGGACGAAGGGCGCGGGCGACATCTGAACTATATCCTGAAGCATTCTCGGGCTGATGCTTGTCTCGTCCAACCTCCGTTTCTTATTCTGGCTGGACGAACTATTCGCATGGACAGGCACGTGGACTCCAGCGCCAGGGATCTGGAAAGGGACAACCGCCAGGCCGTGGAGAGGCGCGCCATCCATGCGCTCCCACGGAGCAACTGATGGTGTTAATATGGAGTGGCGCGCGAGGCCGCGCGCACAAAATATGGATGATATGAAGAAAATCAAACTTGCATACACGGCCATGGCCGCACTCGCCGCTGCAGCACAAATGGCTCTGGCGCCCCTGGGAACCTCAGGAGGGCGCCCTTGGAGACCTTAGGGGGGGCTCTGGCGCCCTTGGTGACCCTGGTTTCCCGTCAACGCTGCCCTTGGAGACCTTGAGGGGGCTCTTGGCGCCTAGACCTTAGACGGCCTCTTTGGGGCCCCATCCAGACTCTGGGGAAAGAGCTGCCGTAATTCGCCCCGTGGGGCCTTGCTGGGGGGTCATGGCATAGCATAGAATAGCGCGCCATAGCAACACAATAGAAACGACGCAATGGAATTCATAGCGAAGTATATCTGTGAATTCAAAGACACGGCACGACGCAACAGTACCAATGATGGCGTAGCGCAGCACAACATAGCATAACTTATCACACTGCCGTAAAAATAATACGCATCGCACGCACTACAATCGAAAGCTTCCGAGCAACGAGTAAAAAAAGAGTACTTGGGGAGTATGTTGGCAAGGGTGGGGCGGGAGTATTTTTTGAATATTTCCTAACATGTCCCCCTGTAGGGGACGCAAACGTCTCGGTGATAGGTTTCTAATGGTCTCAAAAGAAAGCATCATGACTCCTCAGGAGGGTCTGGGCGGGACCCGGGGAGGCTGCCGTCGAAGCCGAAATCGCTTAGGACATCCTAGCAAAATCGCTCTTGGTGCTCCCAGAACTCCATTCCCGGGCCACATTTTGGATGCCCGGAGCCAGCTGTAAGCCACTTCGTGCTCTTCGACTTCCCAGAACTCCATTCCCGGGCCACATTTTGGATGCCCGGAGCCAACTGTAGGCCACTTCGTGCTCTTCGATTTCCCAGAACTCCATTCCCGGGCCACATTTTGGATGCCCGGAGCCAACTGTAGGCCACTTCGTGCTCTTCAAGTTCCCAGAACTCCATTCCTGGGCATGATTTTGAATGCCCGGAGCCAACTGTAGGCCACTTCGTGTTCTTCTAGTTCCCAGAACTCCATTCCTGGGCCACATTTTGAATGCTGAGGCAGGCTGATGCTGCGGCCGAGGCAGGCTGAGGCTGAGGCAGGCTGAGGCTGAGGCCGAGGCCGAAGGCAGACTCAAGCTGAGGCTGAAGCAGACTGAGGCTGAGGCTGAGGTAGGCTGAGGCTGAGGCTGAAGCAGGCTGATGCCGAGGCAGGCCGAGGCTGAGGCTGAGGCTGACGCAGGCTGAGGCTGAGGCAGGCTGAGGCTGAGGCCGAGGCTGACGGCAGACTGAGGCTGAGGCTGAAGCAGGCTGAGGCCGAGGCTGAAGCAGGCTGAGGCTGAGGCAGGCTGAGGCTGAGGCTGAGGCAGGCTGAGGCTGAGGCTGTGACTGCGACTGCCGTTGCCCTGCGACTGTCATCGCGACTGCGACTACGACTGCGAGAACAGTAGAATTATACAACTGGATTTTCAGCTGAATCTTAAGGGGAATGCTTTCCGATATGCTTCTACACATCGCTGTTAGGTTGCTTTGCCAAGATATTTTCTCCAGCTGATTGTTTCTCACTCCTTCTTCTCCTCAACGTCCTCTTCCACGAGACCGCGCCCTCGCGCGCGCAATGCGAGATTTCCGCGCCCGCGCTGCACGGGGAAGCTCTGCGAGTTCCCGGCGGTAACCAAGGTCAACGGTTTACCGCCGGCCCCCAGTTGGCCCACCCGGCCAGAGCGGACAACGTGACGACCTGGGGCCGGTTTTTCGAAGATTTGAAAAATATTTCACCATTTACTTTGAGATATTAGATTTTTCGCACCTGTGAAAGACCATGAGGGCCTCTGCGTCTTAATATGAGCTCCGCAGGCGCACTTTTACTATCAAAACACCTGGCGCAACCAACTTCATGTCGACATGAGAAATGCAATATTGAAGTTTTTAAGAGGCCCCAGTTCTGGTTGCCGGCCTGGGGGCCCTTCAGCTTTGTCTGGAGCTTGCTGATCTCCGCGGCCTGCGCTGCCACCTTGTCATGCAGCGCCTTGTCCCCGCCGCCGCCGCCGCCGGAGCCTCGGTCGCGGGGCAGCATCCTCCTCTCGAGGAGCTTGCCCTCCTCCTTCATGAGCGTCGCCTCCTTGCGCAGTTCGGCCTGGATGTGCTCGAGGAGCGTCGGGCACGCCGTCAGGGGCCCCCTCGTCTCCGAGATCCCCATGCACAGGTACTCGCCCCCCAGGTACTCGTCGCCGCTGCTCTTCAGCAGCCGCTCGCGGCGCCCCCACTCCGCCAACTGCGCGCGGCGCACCAGGGGCTCCACCAGCGACAGCTCGGTCAGGTTGAGCTGGTCGAAGCCGACCCCCAGCTCCAGCGCCCGCATCGCCAGCTCGTGGCCCAAGACGCCGACATCGTCCGGGCCGAGGCCGCACTCCGCGCGCCACTCGGCGCTGCGGGCGCGCGGGCGCGAGTCCTGCTCCGCCAGGAAACGGGCGCACCACGGCGCGGTGCGGGGCCCCTTCACAGGCCACCCCGCCCAGACCGTCTCCGACATCCCTCGCGCAGCGCCCTTGAAGACGCGCCTCCTCTCGCCGTCGAGCCCGTGCAGGATCGGCATCGCGCGCGCGTCCGTCGAGCCCTCGGCCTGCTTTTCCGTCACCGCCTGTGCCAAGTAATACTTCCCAGCCGCCTTCACGATTGCGAGCGAGTCGCACACGGTACCACTCGCAACTGTCGAAGTCGGCCAACACATTCACGTCGCTGTCGTCGTCGCCGGCGGTGATCAGCCAGCGTCGGTTGTCACTCGCCACCAGCCGACCGGAGGCGCGCACCAGTTCGTTAGAAGGGGTCGCTGTCCCACCCACTGGGCTCGGCCCCCCGCGCAGCATTGCCAGCGCCGCCTCTTCCGCCTCCGGCGCCGACCTCACGTTGCAGGAGTCGACGAGCTCAATGAACTCGAGGGGCGAGGGATACCACTGGGCGCCGTAGCAAGGGCGCGCCACTCGGCGGCCGCCCCCGCCGACTCTCTCGCGCCAGATAGGCTGGCCCGTCCGATCGCACGGGGCCATCGCGTGGAGCGGCGGCACCTCCAGCTCGCGCGGATAGATGTCCTCGTCTGGTGTCGCTGCCATCCACATCGCACTCGTCGGACTCGTCGGAACCGTTCCGAGCTCGTGCTCGGTCTCGGCGGCTTCGGACGGGCGCAGAGGCAGCCGGCTCTGGTAGTCCTCCTGCGCGCGCCACTGGACCAGCAATCGCATCCCAGCGCGAAAGACCAGCGCCATGCCAAACGATGCTCCCCGCCAGCGCACAGGCCGCGCAGCAGCAGCAGCCGGCCAGCGCCCCCACGCAGAAGACGATGAGCAGGAGCACGCGCGTCCCGCCCAGCTGCTCCGCCGCAGCCGCCAGCTGGCCCGCCTCGACTGCTGGCCCGCCGACTCGCCGAGCCCAGTCGGCCGCGATCTGCACGGCCGCGCCAAGCCCCGACTGGGCGGCGAACTGCTGAAGCATGCGTCCGCCACTCTTTGAAAGGCTCGGGCCTAGCACGGCATCGGAACAGACTCTCTCCATGCCGTGCAGCGGCCGAGCGTTCTGGACAGGCAATCACGTTCACAGAGCTAGACAGAGGAGGAGGAAAAAGATGGGGAGGGGAGGGGAGGAGGAGGAGGAGGAGGAGGAGGAGGAGGAGGAGAGGAGGAGGAGGAGGAGGAGGTGGAGGAGGAGGAGGTGGAGGAGGCGGAGGAGGAGGAGGAAGAGGAGGAGAAGGAAGAGGTTCGGAGCGGCGTAGAGCACAGCCAGGGCCTGTGCCCTGCCAGAGCCAATTGAGCCCACCCTGGCGGTGGCGCCACGGCCTGCTGAAATGCCTGCGCCAGCCGAGAATATCGACGCCACCTCCAGCCAAAAATCGACCTCTTTTGGACAGTCGCTGGTCCTCCTCCGTCCCTCTCTCTCCTCCGCCTTCCGCTGCTTTCTCTGCCCCTGCCCGAGTTCCTTCGAGCCATCGCCCCTCCCGAAGACCCTCCTTGAGAGCGCCCTGAGACCGCGGGGAGCACACGAAGATCTGCGCCCCCCGCCCGCCTCGCCGCCCACACGTCGCTCCAGCCCGCGACGTCGGGAGGGGGGAAGAGGAGCCGTGCACGGAGGGAGAGGGGGGATGGAGGGATGATGAGCATCGTTTAACCGACCCCTATCCCCAGGGGATCGGCCTGGGCCCCACTGGCCGATTCAGCCCCATAGATGGGGGTATAGGCCGTTCCCTTCGGATTTGAAGGGGTACATATCCCCAACTGGGGTGCTGAGATGGAGAGGGTCTGGATTGGGATAGGGATGGGGATAGGGGTCGGTTAAGCGATGCTGATGGGAGGCAGCGGTGGGAGCCCGTACGTCTGACGATGCGAAACTGTCAATGCGCGGCCCCAGGGAAGCCCGAACCCGCTCCCGGGGCGTAGGCATACCGTCCCAAATCAATGTCTGAAGCGCATCGGGCCCGATATCGGGCCCTGGGGAACGAGGTCGAAGGGGGGCGCCGGCATTGCAAAGAACACACATCGTCGGAGACCTGGGAGGAGGGAGGGGGGGCAATGGAGGCAGAGGGGGAGGATGGAAGGTGGAGAGAAGGAGGATGACGGCGGGAGGAGGGCGGCGCGTCCTTGCCCAGAACGGCTGACCGGAGCGTAACCTCCAGGACAAGTGATATGGTCACCAGACCCTGGCGCGAGCAGCGCGACCAGGATGAAGGGGAGGGCTGAAAGGCATGAGGAGGAGAAAGAAGAGGCCTCCGGCCTCTATCAGAAAGGAGTGGACTGCGAGGAGGCGGCGCAGAGGCGGTGCTCCTTCACAAAAGCGCAGTGTTCCTCCGTTCCCTGCGGGCCCCCTCTGCTGTCCCGCTCCTTCTGCCCTCCTTCTCCCCGCGCAGCTCCCCGCCGCCCCCCTGCGCGCTTGCCACTGTGGCCACAGCGCGCACGCTCTGCGCCTCGCTCTGCCGCCCTCGCCTGCAGGGCGCTGCGATGCCTGCTCACCCCGCGCGGGCTGACCGCCGAGGAGGACCGGCCAGCCACAGCTGTGGGAGCTGTGGTCCTTACCCCTTGGGGGAACCCATCGCATCGACGATCTCTCGAGAGGGGTGTCGAAATCGATGGGACCACAGCTCCCCCCGTTGTGGCTGGCCTGGGAGAAGAGAAAGGAGCGGATATGGACGAGAGGGACTGGGCATGCTTGCAGCAAGGTCGTGTCGTGAAGATCCAGGCGACGGCTTCTGACACCGCGTGGACCGTTCAATCCTGGACGTTCCGCGGCCTTTCGATCGCCGGATCATCGTTCATGTTGGCCAATCGAAGGCCACTGGCGGCAATCAGCCTTGAATCGGGGATGGACAGAGCCCCCTTTGGCAAAACGTGGCCTCGTGAAAACGACCTCGGGCCCAAACCTGGCGGGCGCGAGCCTGGAAACTGACGGCCGCGGCGCCCTCTCGAGAACCGAAAACGGACAACTAACTAGTCGACGTGTCAGGGAGGGGGCTTCTGCCCACCCCCGATGGGGCGCCCTCGGCGGGGTCGCCGCCGCGTCGGCACGGCACGAGCCCACCGCAGTGAACAGAGAATAAGGGGAAGTGGACGAGATGGACGAGGCGCAAGTGGGCGGTTTCTGTTTTTGCTGCCACACCGCATCGGTCGAAGAAAGGCAAAGCTAAACTGCTTGGCACGTTCTCTCTCAAAACCGGCCGCTGCTTGTGGAGGTGCCTCTACTTTGGGGCGACCGTGACCAGCCACCGCGGGGAGCGCGGCAGGTGGGTGAGGGGCCCAGGGCTTTGCAGGTTGCCGAGCACAACGAGATTCACACACAGAATGGGGTTTAAGCTGGCTCAATCCAGACCCGGGTCAGTCAAGCTTTGCAGAATCCTGCAAAATCCTGCAAGATCCTGCACCCAAGCCCAGGTCAATGCGAACGATGCTGCAAAATCCTCCAGGATCCTGCACCCAAGCCTGGGTCAGTGCGACCCTGGCCCTGCAAGATCCTGCAGAATCCGGCGCTCTGTCTGACCCCTGTTTGCATCGACCCCCGTCTCTTGAGCCCCGACCCCCGTCTCTTGAGCCCCGACCGCCGCAACCCCTCCGAACATGGCCCAGTTTCCACACCCCTTGTGCCCGCGCGCGGGCGTGCGCACTGGGCCGGCGCGGCGTTCCCTCGGGATTCGTGCTGGTAAAAGTGTACACCACAGCGCCTGCATGCACAGGACAGGTAGAAGGAGCATGCCGGTGAGGATTTGCTGCGGACAACTGAACACCACGCCAATGAAACGCGGATGCTACAATGCGACGTTATTCCCTCCTCCCTCGTCCTCCAGTTCCACCTCCTCCTCCTCCTCTCCTCCTCTCCTCCTCTTCCTCCTCCTCCTCCTCCTCCTCCTCCTCTTCCTCCTCATCCTTCTCCTCCTGTCCCTCCTCCTCCTCCTCCTCCTGCTCCTCGTTTTCGTCCTCTTCCTCCTCCTCCTCCTCCTCCTCCTCCTCATCCTTCTCCTCCTGTCCCTCCTCCTCCTCCTCCTGCTCCTCGTTTTCGTCCTCATCCTCCTCCTCCTCCTCCTCCTCCTCCTCCTCCTCGTGTTCCTTCACCTTTCCCCCCTGTCGTGCGGGTCGGCGTTACAGCCCACGTGCGTATCTCAACGTGCACCGCAAAACGGTCCATTGAATAGGTCCAGTTGGCTCTCGGACGGCCAATTCTGTTGGGGCCCCCTGGACGCAGGTGGGAGGAGTTAGGATGATGCGGGAAGACTCGAGAGGACTCGTCGCTTCGAGCGGCGTTTTTTTTCCCATAAGGTTTCCTTTCTAATCCTAGATGAAGCATTTGTTTTCTGTGGAATCCACAAAAGTTCCATTTTGTCATGAAGACTCCTTCTAAAATTCTAAATGCAAGAGTGGCGTTATGTTGCACGCGGTCGCTGTGGTGCACACGGGCGCCGTGGTGTACTCAGGAAATGCAATGCACGCAAGCACTGTTGTGTACAATGGTGCTGTGTTGCGCAAGGCTGATGTGGTGTACGCGGGCGCTGTGGTGCCCGCGGGCACTGCGGCACACACTGGCGTTGTGTTGCACGCGGCTGCTGTGGTGCACGTAGGCGGCGTGGTGTACGCAGGCGCTGTGGTACACGCAAATAACGTGGTGTACACGTGCGCTGTGGCGCAAATCGCCACCTACATGTTGCTGCTACCCGTCCTCGGTCATTCCTTCCCAAACGCCGCTGGCGCGAAACGTGATGTCATCCCCCCCCCGATTGGAAATGATTGTAATACCAAACACACAAGTTTTCAATTTTGAAAGTAAATGAAATACCTGGGTGGTTTTGAAATTGCCACTGACTGAATTAAAAAATTCAAGCTGGCCCAGAAGAGATTAATGCGCTATCCTATACACCAGGAACCCTGGTGTACTTTGCGAGAAAGGCGCACACTTGCAATTCGCCATTCTAATCAGACTGTTGACCGCCAAAAAAAGCAGCATGAATCAACTTGTAGTTGGGCGCGAAAAAAAAAAAGTGTCAGAGGTCGTGAGTTATTTGTTTTCTAGCCCCCAACCATCCTGAAACGTCGGGTTTTCGTTTTGACAAGACGGCCCCCGCGCCCCCCTCCCCCCTTCCCCCTCCCCCCCCGCGCTTCACCCACCCACCGCAGCGCTTCGTGACCCCATGGGGAGCTCCACTGGAGGCGCCAGTGGCAGGGTTCGCATAGCGGCCTCGGGCCAGTTCGGCGCGCCGCTCACAAAAACCGTGGCCCCGTGGGAGCTCCGCCGAGGGTGCAAGCGGCAGGGTTCGCGCGGCGGCCTCAGGAAATGTCGGAGCCCCCCCTGCGAGGATCGCGGCCCCGTGGGGAGTTCCACCGAAGGCGCCGGCGGCAGGATTCGCACGGCGGCACCAGGCCATTTCGGCGCACCCCCCGCGAGGATCGCGGCCCCGCAGGGAGCTCCACCGAAGGCGCCGGCGGCAGGGTTCGCGCGGCGGCCCCGGGACATTTCGGCACGCCCTCGCGAGAATCGCAGGATCGTAGGATCGTAGAATCGTAGGATCGTGGCGCCAGTGGCAGGGTTCGCAAGGCGGCCTCGGGCCATTTCGGCACACCCCTCACGAGGGTCGTGGCCCCATAGCTGCGCTGCTTCAATAGCCGCGCCTGGGCGTCGCACTCCGCCTTGCCGACGTGCAACGCCACCTGCTCCCTCATGGCTCTCAGAGTCCTCTCCTGCTTCTGCTCCTCGGTCAGAGGGACGCCGTCATCGTCGTCGTCGGCGCCCGCGAAGACGGCCACGAACGCGTTCCTGAGCATGTCGGGCCCCGGCGGGAAAGGGTGGCCACGAAGGGGGCGATGGCGAAAATGGTATTCACAATTGGGCCCTTCGCCCGGTTATTTTCTTTGGATTTGGAAGCGTTGTCATATTTAAAATAAGAGCTGAACTCATAATCCTACACGAATGAAATCAAATTGCAATCCGCCTCAGAATGAATCAATATGTAATCCACCACCCCAAAAAATGTAATCTGCAAAACGCAAAAGCAATGTGTAATCCGCCACAAACGGGAAACATGTGTCCAGTCGAAATGATCCTGGAACTCCGGGTTCGGTCGGGGGCGAGTATCTGAAAACCATCCGTATGACTTTTACATGTAATCAATGTGTACTCCCCCACAAAAGGAATCACTTTGTAATCCGCCACAAAAAGAATCAATCTAAAATCTGCCACACAAGGAATCCATGTGTCAGCCGCCACAAAAGGAATCAAACTTGTGATCCGCCACAGAGGGGAGCAACTTGTAATCCGCCGCAAGAAAAATCCATGTATCTCAATTTGAACAACTACTGATATTGAGTGTAAATATGTATACAACAAAAAACACGGATGATCCTGGACCTCCGGGGCGGTCGGCGGCGAGTCTCTGAGGTCCAGGTTCCTTCGTTTGTCCCACCCATCCTGTGGTGTTGGGTCCTCGTTTTGAAGAGACAACGCCCCGCGTCCCTCATCCTCTCTTCTCCTCCTCCCCCTCCTCCTCCCCCTCCTCCCCCTCCTCCCTCCTCCCATCCGCCTCGTCACCTCCCTGCGTTTCACCCACTCACGACAGCGCTTCGTGGCACCGTACGGAACTCCACCGAAGGTTCCAGTGGCACAGGCCGCATGCGCCAACGCCACCCAAGACAGCGTTTGGTGGCTCCACAAGAGAGCTCCAACGAAAGTTCCAGTGGTACACTCCGCATGCGTCAACGCCACCCAAGACAGGCGCTTCGTGGCCCAATAGGGAGCTCCACCGAAGGCTCCAGTGGCACAGGCCACATGCGTCAACGCCACCCAGGACAGGCCCCATAGGGAGCTCCACCGAAAGTTCCAGTGGTACAGCCCGCATGCGCCAACGCCACCTAGGAAGGCGCTTCGTGGCCCCACGGGGAGCTACACCGAAGGCTCCAGTGGCACAGGCCGCATGCGTCAACGCTACCCAGGACAACTTTCGTAGTCCAATAGGGAGCTGCACCGAATGCTCCAGCGACACAGGCCGCATGCGTCAACGCCACCCAGGACAGCGTTTCGTGGCCACATAAGGAGCTCCACCGAATGCTTGAATGTCAGAGGCCGCATGCGCCAACGACACCCAGGACATCCTTTCGTGGCCGCATAGGGAACTCCACCGAAGGCTCCAGTGGCACAAGCCGCGTGCGTCAACGCCAACAGGACAGCGATTCGTGGCCCCATAGGGAGCTCCACCTGCTTCGTGGCCCCACAGGGAGCTACACCGAAGGCTCCAGCGACACAGGCCGCATGCGTCAACGCCACCCAGGACAGCGCTTCGTGGCCCCATAGGGAGCTCCACCGAAGGCTCCGGTGGCAGAGGCCGCGTGCGTCAACGCCACCCGAGACAGCGCTTCGTGGCCCAATGCTACACCGAAGGCTCCCGTGGCACAGGCCGCATGCGCCAACGATACCCAGGACAGCGTGTGGGGGAACCATAGGGCGCTTCACCGAAGGCTCCAGTGGCACAGGCCGCATGCGCCAACGCCACCCAGGACAGGCGCTTCGTGGCCCCACAGGGAGCTACACCGAAGGCTCCAGTGGCACAGGCCGCATGCGTCAACGCCACCCAGGACAGGCGCTTCGTGGCCCCATAAGACGCTCCACCGAAGGCTCCAGTGGCACAGGCCGCATGCGTCAACGTCACCCAGGACAGGCCCCATAAGGAGCTCCACCGGAAATTCCAGTGGTAAAGGCCGCATGCGTCAACGCCACCAGGACAGCGATTCGAAGCCCCATAGGGAGCCCCACCGAAGGCTCCAGTGGAACAGGCCGCATGCGTCAACGCCACCCGGAACAGCGCTTCGTGGCCCCACAGGGAGCTACACCGAAGGCTCCAGTGGCACAGGCCGCATGCGTCAACGCCACCCAGGACAGCGATTCGTGGCCCCATAGGGAGCTCCTCCAAAATCGGTGCCCACAATGCGGTACTCGAAACTGCATATGGTTGGGTCCTTCGTCTGGTTAAGTATCGATTCGTTCATATAAGTTAGCATTTTGGGCTAATTTTTCAAAGTGGCACACAATAAATCAATGTGTAATCCGCCACATGAAAGAATCAATGTGTAATCCGCCGCAAACGGAATCAAATTGCAATCTGCCACACAAGGAATCAGTTTGGAATCCGCCACACAAAATTAATCAACCGACTATCTGCCGCAAAGGGAGACAATGTATGTCCATTAGGAAAAATACGACAATTGAAATACTCTGAAAGATTTGCAACCGGGGACGGTCGGTGGCGACTCTCTGAAGTCCAGAAATG